TTCCGGGCCCCCCCCCCCCCCGGTTCTCCTCCTTTTCGGGCCGGTCCTAGCTGCCTGCTCCGCGTGTAACAACGAAAATGCGTTGCTCACACACACACACACATCCTTTGAACACGCCGCACTCTATTGTTTCGCACTGCCGCAGGTTTTTGGATCCGGCACCACACCCGCACGGGAGCGGACACACGTGACGTGACTACGGGCATTGTATCAACACCACTGGTCTCGCGCACGAGAGGTGCGTGTACTGAAAGACTTTGGTTCCTTCTCTATTACAGTCAACCATATCCACCATGGCTTCATTTGATCTACAAAAGGTGCACACGAGAGCGCCTCGTGTCAGCGCCGAAGACACCGACGATGTTTCCGTCCACCGTGAGCGCAGCTGTCTCTCACTCTCCACTTGCGCTAAATGAGAGCCGATTCTTGTTCGTCGGCACAGGTCTCCTCCGGCGCATTTGGCACGCGTTGCAAACACCGGTCCATCAAGTGTTCAGCCACCGCTGTACCCGGCGGGAAAGCAGGTACCCATGACCAACACTCTCTCACACGTGAACTTTACTTACGCCTACACATGAGAAACACTTTATTTCCAGCAGCTAAACGGAAACGACCGGCGGCGGCCCTTGAGTCGGGAAGGAAAAGAGGGCCGTCGATGCTGCCACCATCCTTTTAGAGATTTTGCCACCAGGAGGACAAAATATTGAAAGGACGGCCGCCGCCGCGGTCGAGGCAGTGAAGACCGCCGGATCTGCGAACTCCGCAGCTGCCGTCGCGGGCTCCAAATCAGTCGCCGCCGCTAAAGGGTATGTAGAACTCACCTGCTCTCTTCTCTCTCATGTGTATGGCAGGAACACATGCCACAGATTTGCGACCACGACGGTTGCACAAGGCACCCCATATTTGGTGTCGCTGGCAGCAAAAAGCGGGAGTTCTGCCTTGATCACAAAGAGGACGGTATGGTCAATGTCACACACCGGACGTGTGGTCGGAGAGGTTGCTTCAGGCACCCCACATTTGGTGTCGCTGGCAGCAAAAAGCGGGAGTTCTGCTCAAGTCACAAAGAGGACGGCATGGTGAATCTCGTACTCAGGCAGAAGTGTGGTCGGAGAGGTTGCTTCAGGCACCCCACATTTGGTGTCGCTGGCAGCAAAAAGCGGGAGTTCTGCTCAAGTCACAAAGAGGACGGCATGGTGCGACTCGTACTCAGCCGGAAGTGTGGTCGGGGCGGTTGCTTCAGGGAACCCTCATTTGGTGTCGCTGGCAGCAACAAGCGGGAGTTCTGCTCAAGTCACAAAAAAGACGACATGGTGAATCTCGTACTCAGCCGGAAGTGTGGTCGGAGATATGTGAGTGGTTTTGATCTCACATGAGTATGGTGCAGAAGCAGGCCGCCAATAAAAAAGCATGTCTTCAACATGGCTTTCTTGTAAGCGTAAGTGCCGTTTTTACACCTTCCTGTGGTGCGCACCGTTGTTGCCGATCGCACGCAGCCGTCGACGTCTGGCAAACGCAAGCGTATAACGCGTGAGAAGGACGACGGGAGTAACGAGAGGGATGGCGGAAGCGAAAGCGATGACCGTGACGAAGTCTGGTCATCATCCGACGGTAACTCTGTGAGTATTGAGAAGCAGCCTTAGCATAAGCGACCCGGTCATTCGGATGAAGGGCGATCGAGCCCGCCGTTTTCTATTACCCGTCGCCATAGCGGAACCAATATCTAACAACAACCCTCACCTTTTCACGCCTTTCTCCGGTGCATCAGGAGCCGCCTGTCGCGGCACCGGCGAACCCCATGCCCCCGCCACCACCTCCTGCCCCGGATTCGGTGGCGGGGGATGTGGACAGTGACGTCGTGGCCGATGGTTACGATTTTCTGTTAAGCGCTGCCCCGGCTTCGGTGGCGGGGGGTGCGGACAGTGACGTCGTGGCCGATAGTTACGATCTTCTGCTAAGCGCTGCTCCGGCTTCGCAAGCTCCCTCTCTGGTTTTACGGGCTCCCGTTCCGGGTTCAGTGGTTGATTTGACAGGCGAAGGCGACATTTCTGACGACATACAGGCGGCTGCTCATGATGGTGCTCCTACAGCAGGAGAGGCGACGGCCGCAGACCCGCTTCCTACACCATCGACGATGATGCCGGCGACTGCCGGGGCTTCGTCTAGCGGTACTCTCGGCTCGTATCTCTTGCGCCGCTCCTGCCGGAACCTACGTTCGCGGTAGTTCAATCGCCTGGCATGTGTTTGTTTTCTCACTGAGTTTTTCGATCACATGTGTTTTTGGAAAATTGGAGGCAGAGATGTGAGACCAAGCGCGACACAGGTCGCTTCATCCGGTCCTCGCTTTTATAATGTTTGACAAGGAGTAAAGCATAAAAGTATGGGGGCAGCAGCCTCGTCACCCTTCGTGGCCACCAAGCCTTTTTTCAGGAGAATTATGCGCGTTTCAGAACCCGTTGAGACGATTGATGTGTGTCTGGTGTGTGAGAGAGACAGTCGTGTTCAAAACACGGGAAACATTGGTGACATCAAGATGCACCTCCGAGAATTCATGCGGGGCGTGTGACCTACAGATAAGTACACTGTTTTCCGGTGGTCGACGTGGGACACAAACCACGCCGACATTGTGATTCCTACGGAAGATCTTGTGGTGGCACGACGCACGAACGTGGCTGATCGGTACCGCATGACACCGAGGAACACTTTTGATGCACTCTTCACAATGCACTGCCCTTTTGCTAGTCTTTCCGACAAGAGCTTCCAGACGGCGTGCGCCTTGCTCAAACCTCTCGGAATCTTGGTTGTGGTGACCAGCGGCGACACTCCTCACGAAGGTATCAGTCTACGTGACACACCTTTCGGCGACTCTTGTCTTTCCCCGAATGGCCGAACGTACCGTCTGCACCAAGTCCACCAGTCGATCGAGGGAGGGATGAATCTTCTCGTGTGGCAAAAATGGCCGGTGTCGTGAACTATGCATTATCTGATGACTCCGCTGCACGTAAAGGACTCGTGCTTGTACGTTCACAATGCCACCCGATTTGTTCACCAGACACCTCTCTTTACAAGTCCCTCTACCCTGTACTCACGTGCGATGGGAAGAGATTGTTTGCAACGTGCGATGGGAAGAGTGTCATACTTCTGCTTGATCTTCGCGGCCGGCTGGAACATTCGATGATGAAAATGGAATCGATTGACGGCTCTTCTCTATGTACCATACATCAACATTTTATTTCATGCTGACCGAGCGCGTTGTGACAGAAATGGGGAGGGCAAAACTGGAAAACTCTACTCAAGACTTTGGGAATCAGGTCCAAACCAGAGTTCTGGTGGTTCTGTGAAGTTTTGAGAAACACAAAAAAAGCAGCCAAGCGCTGAAACTTCCAGAACTTCCGAAAGTTATCACGGATTGCCGGAATACAAGTCTTGCCATTTCATTTAAACTGTGTGAACCTCAAATAATATGAGTTCCGTGAGAAACGAGCAAGCGGTTGTGGACCGTTTGTTGCGGGATGGGGCGGACGAAAGGGTGTTGAATTCGTCTGGCGAGACGCCCTTGGGCGTGTTGATGCGCGTGAATTCTGGCACAGAAGGATTTAGCAGGGTGCGGCTTCTTCTTATGAGGCGTTCCTGGCAGCGTCGCTGGGGGTGGCTTGTCATTCTTCGCAATCGCGTGGGCGCGGGTGTCGAACCCCCGCAAAAGCGCCTACACCGGTCAACCAGAAACAAGGAGGGGCGTGGAAACATTGCGCTAGAGTTTCTCTGGGGTCGAGCTCCGGATGGAGTGTTTGACAAAGTCATGAGCTTTCTGTAGTGACGAATGCATACTGCATTTGGAAGGCTATGTCCGAAGGAAACATGGATTTTAGGCGAGACGTAACACTTCAAAAGCAAGCCTCCTCGCGCGCGCAAGCTCTTCCTTCGTGTCGGCCTTTTTCGGAGAGGCTCTCTTCGCGCGAGGCTTTTTGGAGGATGCTGTTTTAGGGGCCTTTTTTTTCCAAGGGAAATTCCTGTACGGGTCTTCGCGACACCTGTTCGTCAAGGGGTTTCTCACCTTTTTTCCTTTACAAGGGGGCAAAACCTTGCGCTTCCGCAAGCGGCACCGGTTGGTCAGTGGGTTCCTCTCGTATCCGGGTTTGCAGGGAGCCAGCGGACGGCCAGTTACTGATGAATAATCCACCATTTTTGTCGTGACCACCGTAAATATTGAAATGTGGAAAACGTGTTACATTGTCAAACGATCCCCGAATCTACGAGTTTTCAGTTTCTTAACATCGGGCCGTACACATTTCTGATAACTTGAGCATGTGGAGGCAACAAGCGGGCTCAACAAGGCCGCGTGTCGGGTGCCTTGGTTCGTCGCTTTGTCGAATGGTTGTGTTGCAACATGTACCCTCCGTCCCCATACCAATTGAAAATTTCGTCTCCAATTTTGAGTGGTTTGGTCGACTTGAGCCACACGCCTGGTACTCCATCCCCGACAGGACGGTATCTCGACACACAATTGTGGCGGCTGAGAGACGACACGCTGCCGTTCGCGTTGAATAGACCATTCGAAAGACTAGCGACGCCCCGTTTGCACGCACTGTCAATGTGCAGTTGCTCCGGTCCAGGAAGCATCTCCGCGTAAGCCGCCGTCATGTCCCCTGGATAGCGTTTTTGAATACAATCCTTGGAGGTTTTCTCACCCAAGTACGGACAAATCCACGAATTCTTTGGGAATGCTCGAGTTGCAAACAATCCTTTCCCCGCGTTGACGAGTACTGTACTGTACTTGCACGTGAGATGGGAAGAGTGTCCATGGTGTGTAAAAGCTCGCGCCTGCCTTCGGCACATGGGCGTGTGTATGTGCTGCAGCCAGCACATACGTACGTAAATCACACACGCCTGCTTTGTTGGGGTGCTGTGGGGTGCTCTTGATACGCCGCTCCTGGTGAGGGGGACTCGATCCGCTGATGTTCAACAGACACCTTGTCAACTGTGAGCAGGCCAGGAGCACGGGACTGTGAAGATTGGCACACGCACATATATTATTGGGGTACTCACTTTCGACAGCGCCCCGCTGTGCCCCTTCCCTCCCCGCGAGCGCGCGTTCATTTCCGAAGAGCTTCTTGACAGACGCGGCCAACACGGAGGACGCGACGACACCCATCGCCGGCTACAGCAATCGAAAGGTGAGCAGATGCAGGGCAGGACTCGTGGCGGTAGATGGTGTAAGAGACAGAGAGCGAAAGAGCCCCTCAGCTCCAGACCTTATTCGTTGGCTGGTGCTGCTGTGTCGTGCGAAAGAGTTTCGAGGCCCGGCGCCTTTCGCGCGGCGTATGCGCCAAGGGCCGCAGCGGTATGACGCAGCAGTCAGGGGGTTGATCGTGAGCGGTAGGAAGTATGTGTATGTGGATACATCCGTGCGGACCTCTTGATCCGAATGGCCAGCTACCCAGCTGCTCCCACGCGCATTTGTTTTGGAAGCGTAAGGAATTCACGATAGACTCACGCCCGCATTGACGCCTGCGCACTCGCCCGCGTGCGTGTGATTGTTTTGGAATGCAGTATACGATGCGTCGGGATCAGAGCGTGGCAAAGAAAATGCGATGCTCGTAGCTCTGCTTTCTTTTTCCGGACACGCACGAAAACTCACCTTGAAGCTTATCTTTTTTGTTCTAGACGCATAAAAAAACCACACACACATTTCTCACACTACACACACGGTGTTTTTTCGCACTGCCGCAGATATTTGGATCCAGCAACGCGCCCGCACGGACGCGGAAACACTTCCTGGTCTCGCGCACGAGAGGTACGTGTACCAACTCCCTCGGGCCCACCTTTGTTACACTGCTCTGTAGGAATGTGGATGTGGATACATCCGTGCGCACCTCGTGTTTGGTACAAATCAATTTTTGGCCTCAGGCCCAGCTGCTCCGACGCTGCGTCAGGATCAGAGCTCTGGCCCGTCCTATGTTACTCTCAATCTTCATCATGGATTTATTCGATCTACAGTAGCTGCGCACTGTCGACTCAAGTCCAAAGTTGCATTGGCTTCCTTCCGCTTCAGGCAGTACGAGCTCCTTGTCCCATCCACCGCCTTTCCTTTTTTTCTTTTCTCGCGGTAGAGCCTCTGTCGACTCAACTCCAAAGTTGCATTGGCTTCCTTCCGCTTCAGGCAATACGAGCTCCTTGTCCCACCCACCGCCTTTCCTGTTTTTATTTTCTCGCGGTAGAGCCTCTGTCGACTCAACTCCAAAGTTGCATTGGCTTCCTTCCGCTTCAGGCAATACGAGCTCCTTGTCCCACCCACCGCCTTTCCTGTTTTTATTTTCTCGCGGTAGAGCCTCTGTCGACTCAACTCCAAAGTTGCATTGGCTTCCTTCTGCTTCAGGTAACACGAGCTCCCGAGAGCAAGTTCCACGTGCGTCATCCCTTTTTTCTCATTGAAGCCACGATCTTTGTTTTACCTCCAAGAAGCCGGATCTCGAAACAGCAATACGCACGACATTTTCGGTAAAAGCAAATATTCACGAGGGTTACCTAGCGTCATTACACAGCCACGCGTCTCTGCATCAACGACCGTGAAATGCACTTCACTTACGATGTGTGCGTGCCTGGCGCTTACCACACCCTTACATCTCAGGTAGAAAATGGCACGAGGACATGGAAAGACGCGCGGGAAGGGACACATGGTGAAGACGTCGTCGTGGAGGGGTGTGTGGAAGGCCCTCGTCAACCCTGCAGACGGTTCATGCGGGCTCTACAGCATGCTGCAGCTTTTGTTGATGAACAAGCGCAGCATGTCTGCGTCGGGCGCCGAGTGGGCAATCCGTCGTGCCGCTGGTACGCCGGAAATGCGTGAGCTGCTGATGTTGTGCCGCCGGAGCATCGTGAACTACGTTCGCGCCTCCCCAGACTTCGAGCTATTTTTCGACGACGAGGGGCGTGCCAGCACGGACATCTTCACCACGGCCGAACTAATATCTCTGGTCGACTGGGAAGGGGCCATCCTCAAAGAGGGGAGCTACATCGACGGCATCGCCGTCTTGGTGCTGGGTCGCATTTTCGGGATACCAAGTGTGAGGATCGTCCACGAGGTCTCCTGTGGCGGTTTGGCGGATCATTTTTCCCCCGTTGATCCGGTGAAGGCGACCGGCCAGCCCACTGTTCTACACTCCGGTGGGACACACTTCGAGGCCGTGGTCCCAATTGCTTACGATGCAGACACCGAGGTTTCCGCTGAAAACGACCTGGGTTCGGCCATGGAGTTTTGCAGGCAGGCGCTCGACCGTCACGCCGACGATCCCGTTGACGACGGCGCGTTCGTGAATGCCGTGATCTCATTCGTCCGCCACATCCCTCGCAGCACCGGGACCAAAAAAAGGGCTTTGTCGACTCGCGGCATTCACAAGTTGACCCGCGGACGCAGGCCGCTTACGCGCGGTCGTCTTTCTCGCTTTCGCGACTCATGCCGTGGGCTACGAAGCATAAGGGGAGGTGAAGATTTTGACGTCTCAGGGGCTCCGGTGATCGAGGGAGCTGCGACTCAGGATGCATCGCAAGGAAAAAGGCCTGCTTCTCCCGTTACGGGTGTCTCTTCTACCCCTCCTGTTGGTGCTCCTCCTCGCGACCCCTCCTCTTCTTCGCCCATCTTCCTTGGAATTGAGACCCTTGAGGGCGGCCCAGGTATGCTGCTCCCCAATGTGGTATTCCCATTGGCCCGGATGTTGTTCATTTGCAGATTTTCCGGTTGCGCTTTACTATCTTTATATATATCACTTGACTGGCTAACTCTCCCGTTCAGAATGTCTGTCTAGTTTCCTTTAGATTAATTGTTGTCAAGTTGGGGTTTTCATTCTCTCTTGTCGCGCTCCAGCGTTTTCGGTTCCTGGCTTGCAGTTTACCGAGTTCCACTCGTTTCTGAAACTTTCGCGCTGTCGTGTTTTTAACGAGGTGGTTGTCGAAGTTTCAAGAAATCTTTCACTGTATAACTCCTAGAAAATCACCCGACCACTTACCCAGTGTTGCTCGGGTATTTCACCGCCTTGCATTCTCCTACCCCGTCAGGCTCGGCTACTACCGCCATCCAACCTTCGGCGCCTAGGGATGTCCAAGGTATGCTCATTGGCTTCCTTTCGCTTCGGGAAATACGAGCTTCTTGTCCCACCACCGCGTTTCCCTTTGTTTCTTTTCTTGCGGCAGAGCCTCTGTCAACTCAGCTCGAAGGTTGCACTGGCTTCCGCTTCAGGCAATACCGGGCCCTCGTCCCGCCTCTCCCGCTTTCTCTTATCTCGCGGTAGAGCCTCTGTCAACTCAGCTCGAAGGTTGCACCGGCTTCCGCTTCAGGCAATACCGGGCCCTTGTCCCGCCTCTCCCGCTCTCTCTTATCTCGCGGTAGAGCCTCTGTCAACTCAGCTCGAAGGTTGCATTGGTGTGGTATTGTCATTTTCTCGGATTAACATAAACTCAGTTCCACTCGTTTGTTGGTCGATAAAGCATCGTTTTCAGCACGTGCCTCGCAATACACACACCCCACCGGCTTGTTTTTTGTTTGTCTCTGTCCCGTATTATCCTACGGTTGTGAGCGGGCCGACCCATAAAAGTGTTGTTGCTTGCGGACTCGAGATGTAGACCTTGCTTTTGTCACGGACTGTTTCGGAACTCTTTCCTACTCCCACGTCTCGCGCAAGCGCAGGCGATAAACGGCTTGTAGTGCACCGAGTTCCACTCGTTTGTTGGTCGATAAAGCATCGTTTTCAGCACGTGCCTCGCAATACACACACCCCACCGGCTTGTTTTTTGTTTGTCTCTGTCCCGTATTATCCTACGGTTGTGAGCGGGCCGACCCATAAAAGTGTTGTTGCTTGCGGACTCGAGATGTAGACCTTGCTTTTGTCACGGACTGTTTCGGAACTCTTTCCTACTCCCACGTCTCGCGCAAGCGCAGGCGATAAACGGCTTGTAGTGCACCGAGTTCCACTCGTTTGTTGGTCGATAAAGCATCGTTTTCAGCACGTGCCTCGCAATACACACACCCCACCGGCTTGTTTTTTGTTTGTCTCTGTCCCGTATTATCCTACGGTTGTGAGCGGGCCGACCCATAAAAGTGTTGTTGCTTGCGGACTCGAGATGTAGACCTTGCTTTTGTCACGGACTGTTTCGGAACTCTTTCCTACTCCCACGTCTCGCGCAAGCGCAGGCGATAAACGGCTTGTAGTGCACCGAGTTCCACTCGTTTGTTGGTCGATAAAGCATCGTTTTCAGCACGTGCCTCGCAATACACACACCCCACCGGCTTGTTTTTTGTTTGTCTCTGTCCCGTATTATCCTACGGTTGTGAGCGGGCCGACCCATAAAAGTGTTGTTGCTTGCGGACTCGAGATGTAGACCTTGCTTTTGTCACGGACTGTTTCGGAACTCTTTCCTACTCCCACGTCTCGCGCAAGCGCAGGCGATAAACGGCTTGTAGTGCACCGAGTTCCACTCGTTTGTTGGTCGATAAAGCATCGTTTTCAGCACGTGCCTCGCAATACACACACCCCACCGGCTGGTTTTTTGTTTGTCTCTGTCCCGTATTATCCTACGGTTGTTCCTTTTGTAGATTATTGCTGTACGCATTTGAACGAGAAAGTGATGCCGTGAATTTGAACAAGAATGTGAACCTTCGCTGCTTTCTCGCCCTTTGTATCCGGTGTACCCGAACTCTCGCGCTACACAGACCGCATTTGTCTTACGTGGAATTTCCGCTCACCGGTGATGATGCATTTTGATGTTCCCGTGTTTGTGTTTCGCGAAGCCGAATCGTATACCGAACTGCTTTTAATTATCTGTGCGTGCCAATCGTTTCTCAACTTGATTTTAACAAAAAGGCCCTTCATTGGAGAGCGCTCTGACTACGACAGTCCAACTCGTCGGCGTTAACGCGAAGGCTATTGAGTGCCACAGGATCGACATTGAGAGCAACAGGAGCGGAATTGTCAGAAACGCAATCGCAGTGGAGGAGACCAAGAAAGATGCGGAAGAGATCAGAAAGGAAGTGCGAGAGGCCATGAGAGAAGTGCGAGAGATCGCCGAAGGACAGCGAGAAAACAATCCAAGGACTCAAAGCATGCAAAAGATGTACGTCTCCGACAAGTTCGTTGGACAACTAGGGGAAACGTTCATGCCTTTTTTCCATCTTTTGTTCGACCCGAGCACGGGAAACAATGGATGGTGTCCTGTCATATTTAAGGATCATAAGAACGACACGCTTGAACTTGTCGTGATTTCGGTACAATGTTGCCAGTGCTTTTACGGCGAAGAAAGGCGTAAGAGCGAACAGGATAAGCAGTCTTGTCAGTCGTGGTTGCTTGGTCCAACGTTCGAGCAGGCAACAGGTTTTACTTGTGCAGATGAGCTCAAAGCTTATCAGCTTTCGGGGTTTAAATTCCTCGGCGCCGGCCCAAGGATGAACAACAACCGATCCGATAACAAAAAGAGGTTCATCATTTGTTGGGCTAATTGGTTTAAAAATGTATTACTAGCTTAGATATCTACCGCATTTCCCAAACGTCCACGTGAACGTAATTTCAACGTTGGTGGTAAACAGCCGAACTACAAAGCCCTAGGCACGGATTTTGGTTTTAGGAGTGTTAGTAGGACCATGGACAAGCGTCATCTCAACGACTTTTCAACCGGGCCGATTGTCCAACTTGGCGGAGCAAGTATTCCCGAGCACGAGAAGCTCAAGCTTCCCGTGCTAGGCGAGCCCTGGGTCAAAGAGTGGTATACGCCGTTCATCAGGAGGTTTTTTGGTATACCGAGACATCTTCTAGGCAAGAAACATGTGGTAGGCGGGGTAGTGAGGGCGGATTCGGTCTCAGTGACGTCGCACTGTATAGGCGCTTCAGACTACTGGAGGCGTCAGGACCATCAGGCGCGAAAGAGGTCCAAAAGAAACGAAGCTCGGCTATCTGCTAGTAGAAAGAATGGAAGATTCTCTGGTTCAGATTTATGAGATACGTAAGCTTTTGTATCGCTTGTCTAAGAGGGAGGGTTACGTGCCTGCCGCTGTTTTTTAGTTCTTAAAAAACTACTTTGCAGCGGAAATGCAGTTGATACAGCTTTAGGGAGATGGCGGCCGGTCTAGGGTAACGGGGCTATCCTATTCGACATGGATCTACCTTATCCCACCGCGAAATATTTCCCGAGAAGCTTGTAGAGGATACTAGTGTTTCTGTAACCTCGAGAATTTAGAGTTCTGTGAGAACTGTGAGTTTTCTATTAGGCGTCACAAGCAGACACCATTTTCCCAAGCGTTGCTCGTAAGCCCTGCCCGCCAAGTGTGTAAATGTGTTTCATCACGACAGGTTTGGTTGAAAGCTCCGACTGGCATCCTATTTTCAAACAGAGTATGTATGAAGTTTTTCGGCGTGATACAAAAAAGAGGTTGTGCTTGGCTAATGAAAGGTTGCTTCCGTCCACATGCGCACACTCGCCCGCAGAACTGTGTATCGCGCACACCGTTACAATTTTTTCTGTCGACACGAGACCGGAGTAGTTGGAATACTATCGGCCCCCTTCTAAACGCGATCGTTCGAAATACGAAGGACGCGTGTCTAGACTGAGAGAGACAGTCGTGCTCGAAACACGGGGAACATTGGCGACTACAACGGGCACCTTCAAGAATTCAAGCGTGGGGTCTGGCCCACCGACAAGAACACTGTTTTCCGGTGGTCGACGTGGGACACAAACCACGCCGACATTGTGATTCCTACGGAAGATCTTGTGGTGGCACGACGCACGAACGTGGCTGATCGGTACCGCATGACACCGAGGAACACTTTTGATGCACTCTTCACAATGCACTGCCCTTTTGCTAGTCTTTCCGACAAGAGCTTCCAGACGGCGTGCGCCTTGCTCAAACCTCTCGGAATCTTGGTTGTGGTGACCAGCGGCGACACTCCTCACGAAGCTATCAGTCTACGTGACACACCTTTCGGCGACTCTTGTCTTTCCCCGAATGGCCGAACGTACCGTCTGCACCAAGTCCACCAGTCGATCGAGGGAGGGATGAATCTTCTCGTGTGGCAAAAATGGCCGGTGTCGTGAACTATGCATTATCTGATGACTCCGCTGCACGTAAAGGACTCGTGCTTGTACGTTCACAATGCCACCCGATTTGTTCACCAGACACCTCTCTTTACAAGTCCCTCTACCCTCCTTGCCAGGTCATCGCAGCCCATATCTATATCCTGCTCTCCGATTTGCGTGCAGAAGACAGCAGCAGCCCTTTGAAAAGATATACACACACAGAGATCCACAGTAGAGGTACCCACTAGACTAGACACAGTGCCCGACGGTGCCCCCTTGCTCCCCGACACCCAAGCTCGAAAAGCAGGACAGACACGCCCCGAGACCCAGGACGCGACGACAATCATCGACAGCCTCAATAGCTGACAGGTAAGCAGATGCGAGGGGTGGATCCGTTGACGTAGCAGCCGAGGGCGAGCGAAATAGCGTTTCGACAACTCGACAGACAGCTGCGTTTTGATGGCTGCTGCGAGTCTCAAAGGCACGGCGTCGGGCGCCCGGCCTGTGAGCAATCGCATCCTGGTCGCAGCAGAACAACGACTCGTGAGCGGGTAGGGATTTTCTACGTACGTCGTGCAGACCTCTCTCCAGCATAACAATTCACACGAGATTCCCCGAAGATCCAACCTCAATGTGCCACACCGCCCTACTACCAATCTCGTCCGCCGGCGCAGATTCCAGGGAATGACGCAGACGTTTCAGGAGAAGCGCGTCGATAGGGACTATGCCATCGTGAAGATGACAAAAAAGGGTGTGGGCATAGACATCACCACTAAACTGCACGATTTGTTGGACCTGTGCGAGGAAGGAGACCCCGCCGACAAGCTTCTCGATCACGTGATCGGGCTGTTGAAGAAAACAACGTGAGGACAAGCAACGGTGTGAATCGAGATTGTTGTAGAAAACTGGAGCTTCTCGAGGGTGCATATCCAAATCAACTTCTGTTTTGTCAATAAGCCACCGCTTTCCCTACCCTTCTACAGATGTAAGACAAGCCCCGATGTCATCATCCAGCTCATCGATCGCATCAAGAATCTCATCAAGAAGTACGACGAGGTGCGTACGTGTGTTGTGTGTGTGTGTGTGTGTGTGTGTTTTCATCCCATCAATTGACCCTAGGTCACACAAGAGGGGGTCAAACACCAGGGCTTTTTTCTTGCCCACATTGCTCCTGAGATTCGTGCATGCATTTTGAGCGCGAGAAGGTTTTGGCTATCGCTTTCCCTGGCTAGGGTTAAAAATGCCCCCACCCCATATCCGTATTTTTCACACAGAAAATCGCGATCGATGCGGACGTCAAGCACGAGTCTGTGGCGACCGATGCGAACGTCAAGCAGGAGTCTGTGGTTGAGGGAGAGAGCAACCCTTCCTCCAACGGCAGTGGCAGTGCCGAGGCCGCCGACAAGTCGGGGGATCAGAAGGAGCACCTCGATGAGGACAGCGAGGTGTGTATGAATCATTGTAGCAAGATCATCACCATCGACTCAAATCTCTTTGGAGTAGGGGGGAACACCATAAACCCACATGTAGGCCGAAGCGCACCGAAACCCCGGTGTAAAATGCCCCAGTATCCGTCCTGGTTTGCACAGGAAACATCTGCGAGACCGATCGCAATCGATGAGGACCCACCATGTGAGTCCGGTGGCGGGGGGGCTACATCTTATGCGGTCAAACGAGAGGCGACCCAGAAGCAAGCTGTGGAGGGGACGGGCAAGGCGCAGCGGGGAGCGGGGTCGGCTGCAGGGGGTGTGCAGGGGGGAGGGGGTAGCGAACGGAGGTGGATATTCTACGAGGGCAACGGTAGTTCGAGAAGTCGAGCACGGTCTCGAGCCAGCAAGGGCAGGGCCATGGCGGAGCCCGAGCGGGTCCATGGGAAACACCAACAGGGGGACACGGGGGGCAACGTGTTCGACATCGAAGAGGAATTCGATTCGGACACGGATTCTGGCTCGGAATGGGAGGAGCGTGACTCGACCGTCAGGGATATATAGACACCTCGCTCGCGGAAGGTGGTGCCATTGCTCATGCATACTTATGATTAGAATACCGGGATACTGCAGTCAATCACGCCCGAGATCGCCACCTTTTCTAGTCGACGCCACGATGGAAATGATGTGGGTGTTTTCCTGGAAAACTTCACTGTTCGCACGGCAAGTTCTGACACTTGATTGATCTAAACTGGTTGTTCCGTTTTCAGGGAAAAGGAAAGAGCGACGTCCAGTCCGAAAACAAGACCGGGCATGACCGATCTTCTCCCGGTGCCGGCAGCTCGGGAAGGTGATCAATTTCGGAGTGGCCAGCTGTCGCAAGGAGTCTTGCGGAGACGAGTGGAGTGTCTCACGCTCTCACTAATATCAACTTAAGAAAACCGGAACTATTAAGTTGTAGTGAACAAAAACAGATAGAAACAGTAAGTTGCTTCCTCAAGGGTCCAGCTTTTAAGGTTTTTAAAACCTCGGAATATCCCACTGTTGTTTGTTGAAACCTCTGTTGCGGAAACTTGTCGTCGTTTTTTTGTAGCGTGTTGACTTTGAAGCCCTCATGTAGCAGTCTTGTGATGCCAGCTTTCTTTTTCCTCTTCTTTTTCTTCTTCGTCTTCGACTTTGTAGTGTCGGTTGCCATGGTGAAGGTGAATTGTGAACAGCGTGGGCGACCAATACACTCCAATGTTTACAAATAAAATTGAAGAATGTGGTTTTTCTTCTAGACCGTTTCGAGGTGGTAAGCTTTGTCAAATTGTTCTAGAAAACCTTAAAATGATATTAGTGCAGTGAATGGGAATGACCTGAACGTGACAAAAAGATTGCTTGCACTTTGCCCACCCTGTCTACCCGTGTTCGCCTCAGCGACGAGGTGCAGCCGTCCAAGCGTCAGCCGTCCAAGCGTCGGCGAGTTTCTGCCCCTGCAGCAACACATGGAGGGGGAAGCGCGTCCGGCACCGGAGATCGCAGTAAGGTACGTGCGTGAGGGTATTTCTCGAGGTACACGTCTGACAACGCCGCGGCTGATTGATATTGTTCTTGCCTTACGCAAGGCACCAAACCACTCACCTGCAGAGAAACACGTGCGCAATTAATAAGACTTGATTGTTTCTGTTTGGATTCTGTTGTTGTAGGCACGGCTTTGTCGGCAGGGTGGGTGCTACACGTACGTTCTTTCACATTTGGAGGAAAAAGGGTGTAAGATTCTGTTCGAAGCACAAATCAGAGGGCATGATCCGACGTGATACCTGCCACCACGTGGACTGCCTGAAGTACGCCACATTTGGTATCGACGGTAGCAGAAAGCGTGAATTTTGCGGCACACACAAATCACTTGGAAGGTGGAAATTGTGTCGCCTGTGTGCCGCTTTTCGCGGTTGCACGGGGAAAGCGTCAGTTCGAGCAGAGGGTGGTTCTAGGCGTGAGCTATGTGCTGAGCATGCGCGGTAGTGTTGCATTTGTGTAGCAGCAGAAAGTCGCATGAGTGGGGGAGCGAGGCAAGGCGCATGTCAAACAATCGCACTTGGCGGGGGTAGCGCGGATCAGAGGGGCACCCTAAACCTAATACCCACTAGCCTACCGGGGCGACCGGTTCGTCGTCGTTTCTTGCTGTTTGGATTTTGTTCTTGCAGGTACGGCCAAGCGCACTCTGCATGCATCCTGGTTGCAAGGTATATGCTAGTTTCGCCTTCGAAGGAGAAAGAAGGAAGTTCTGCGCCACTCACGCGAAGAACGGGATGCTCTGCGTCAAGACCAAGAGGTGTCTTAAGTCGGGTTGCACGAAGCGGGCGTCCCTCGGTGTTTTTGGGAGCAAAAAGGCGGAGTTTTGTGCCCCTCACGCAAAGAAGAGGATGGTGAATGTGGTCGATAAGCGATGCAGACACCCCACGTGCCAGCTGCTGCCATCATTCGGCGTCGCGGGCACTTCCAAAAGGCAGTTCTGCGGGACGCACGCACCACGTGCAATGGTTGATGTAGCACGCCCTGTCTGCGTGGTTCCCGGTTGCAAGCGGCATGCGTCCGTTCGAGCAGAGGGT